CTGGCTACCTCGGTGAGTTAAGTGGTAGAGACGGAGGGGATGTGGCAGTGGAGTTTATATTAAATTATATTAAAAGAAGGTGTTGTTTAATCTATTCAATAACACATAATTACAGAGTCGCTATAAAACAATTGGTGAATCCCCTGATTACACTGATGCACTAAGAGATGCTTCAGAGTGCAGAGTGCTTTTTAAAAGGTTTCTCCTCTGTCATTATGTGCACCAGTTACAGACAGTTACAGACAGTTTCAGCCACTGCTCAGGCTAAAGAAGGAAAAGAGGGGATTTCTGCATTTTCTCCTTTATTCTCCCTCCCTCTGCTCTCTCTTCTTGCCATCTGTGGTTAGTGGTGGTTTCTTAGCCATCAGCAAAGGAGCGGAGAGGAGGTGGAATAGAAAGAGGGTGTTTCTCCATCAGCAACTCAGCCAGGAAGACACATGGCCCTACTGTGATCCCACTTCAAATAGAAAACACAGCGAAAAAGGACTCCCCTCCAGGCGGGCGCTTTCATCGGCTGTCTGAGGACTGCTGAAAGATGCCTAAGAAGATTTGGCGAAGTGAAATCTAAATAAAGTTGATCTCCTTGTTATTCTTGTATGAAAACACTGTTTTGTTATACTGGGGAATACAATATGTTGGTGTGTGTGTGTTCATGTGTGTGCAGCACAGTAGCAACTTATTTTGATTATACGGTAGGTCTTGTCAAAGCATTCCTCCGGAAACATAAAAACACAAATTAAATTTGCTATCTTAATTTAATCTATTGTCAGTACTAGATACATATTTTATGTCAAAAGTTAAACTTGTGGTAGGCAGACTCATAATTCCAGAAGAATAATATCGTGTTTGCTTACTGAGTAATGGGACTTGTGCTGGAACAGAAAAAAAAGTTTAACTAAGCTGGAGCTAAAGGGGGCAAGATTAAGGATGGAGTCTGTTCTCCTTGTGATGTGGAGGTCTGGGTAAGACTGAGGAGCCCCTAGGGGTAAAGTCAGGAGCTGGAGAACTCGGGTGTCACACCATTATCATTATATGGCCTTATATGCCCAAAACATTTTATGTGTGAGCAGAACGATGTCAGGATGGGAATGGGGTGGGTGGTGGTTGGCGGTGGTGTGTGTGGGTGTTGGGGAGTGCAGTTTGAACAAACTTAAAGTTGCATATATACATTTGTTGTTTTTTGTAATTTAAGCTGCAACTTGTGTAGCTATAGTTCAGATTAATAGTTGTCCTGCTGGCTTTTCTTTCCCCCACAAGTCAAAATAGTGAAATAAAGAAAAGCTCTGCTTTTAACCCGACAGTGTATAATAACCCACACACATTTGGTATTTTGTCTTTAAATGTTCACTCTCCTTGTCATTCTTCATCTTCTTTTTTGCTCTTTGTAATACTATTTGCACAAATTCTCTGAAACAATTTTTCCCAAAACTAGTTCATCTCGTCTCCCTGGTCTCTTCACTTTAGGAAAAGGTCAAAAGGGATATTAGAGTTTCACCAGCTGCCATTCCCTCTGGACAGCTCATTAATGAAGTGGAGAGCACACACATAACGCAGTAAAAGAGAAAAGGACACTGAGGTGTACACATACAAAATGAGAAAGAGAGAGTGAGAGAGAGGTGAGTGTGGCGGGAAGAGAAATGGTTGAGAAAATATCATTTTTCTTTTGCTGACCTAGAAGGTGTGATTTATCTAATCGTCACCATACCCTCAATTTTCCATTGGTGTGCTATAAGGTTTATGACTGCCCTATGGCCACAATTCAGTGTGGTAAATGTTAATTATAGGTGTCTGCGCATGTAGGCTGAAGAAAGCTAATGGGGCTCCTCAATCCCTCCCACCCCCATCATTTCATTACCAGCAGACACAACTTTAGGCCATACTGGTATTCCCCCATCTTACCCTCAAAAGAAAGTCACCTACAGCCAGATCACGTTAGAGTTGTAAAATATAAAGAGTTCTTTTTCTTTTCTGGAGAGGAAGTTCTACAATTTCAGCTTAAAGGAGGGTTTCATACAGCAGTAATTTCTATCAGAGTAATCCCTATGTTTACACATGCATGTAGCTCAGCTCCTTTTGCATAAATCACATGATTTTTACAATGGTGTGGAAGAAAAGAAATGCCTCAAGAATGTTTGGCATTTGTTGTCCAATGTGTTTGTACAAACCTCATGTGCTCACCTATATTCTCATTAGTTAAGATTGCACACACAGATGATTATGTAGCATGTGAGTGTTTTACGAGTCTTTTCTAGAGGTAAATGTTGGGATATAAAACACATGCTTGTGTTTATGCAGTAGAAGCCATCATAACCATTAATACCAGAAAACACAGACCTGCTAAAGAAAACTAAGCATGCATGTTACTAAATGATTAAGACATTGAAAAACACATTTTTGACTGGAGAGCATAAATTCAATTACTGTGAAAGGGTCAAGTTTTGTTCCATGTGTTTGCTGTAGCTGCTCTCACGAACACTTCTCAACTTGGATATGTTTTCAGGGCAGTCTTTTCAGCAAGGCAACATTTTTTTGTGTAAATACAGTATTAAAGCTGTTGTACTACACTTCCTGCAGCTCAAGCCAAGCATGATGACAGTACCTGCTGTGACTCTGACACATGCTAGATATGCAACAGCTTCATTAGCAGCAGAACTGATGGCTGTCCTAAAAGAAGAGCTCATTTTGCACCACAGGAGTGGTTCTGAAAGAAGCTGTTGCCAAGAGCCTGCAAACCTAATTCTCATGGGTCTATTGCCAAGGGTACAAAAAATAGCACAAAACAAACACTGTGTTCTAATTTGTGGTCTATAGTGATCATGTCTCACTTAAGGGGACTTCTACCCATAATAACCAGGATTTAAGGAGCTTGATTGGCCTAAAGTCCAAGCAATTGAAGTTTATTACGTATAGTCTGTGTTTAAGGTCTTTGGAATTTGTGCAGCCAAAGACTAGGGTCAGTGATCTCTAAAAGTATTGAGTCTGTGACTGTAAACTCAGCATTTCTTGTGATTTAGGTAATAGCCTTTTGGAACTGAAGTCAATTGGGGGTGTAAGCAAATGAAGAGATGAAAGTGAATCAAATGGCATTTATAAAAATCTTCACTGATCCAGAAGTCTAGACAAAAAGATGGGGAATAGATAAAAATGGAGTAAATAATGCACCATGCATAAAGGGAAACTGCACATCAAAGCACGCAGAGATCTATAGTGTGTGGTAGGAAGGTCGACCTTGGAACACATGATAGTGTCCCCAATAGAATTTATTCCCAGAAACCACGAGAAAGTTGATCTGGTGTTCTATTGATATTTCTACACTTGTTATCTGCCCATCTGACTAGAATTAGGCTAAACATATTTCAATGCTGATATTATTAACATTTCTTCCCCATTACCAATCCTTCAGTCTAAGAGGCGATTCAAGTTTTTCCACTCTGTTTTGATACCAGATGTTATAGAAATATTCTCTTAGTCCTGAGGCTGAATAGTTAAAACCACATCCCTCTCTGCCTGTGTATGTGTCTGTCTCTCTCTCTGGGCGTATGCATGAGTTTGAGTCAAGGGTGTGTACAAAACTCACTGGCAGAGCCCATGAGGCATATATTAAGGATAAGATGTTTTTCATTCCATAATGATAGGATCCAACTTCAGCCTTTTTGTAGAAGAGGTGAGATGTCAGTCACTGCAGCAGTTTTCCCCTCAGGCGGTTAATGAATTTGATGCTATATGAAAGTCATGATCACAACATATTGATGTGGCATTTATGACTAAGCCTATCAGCACTCACCTGATCCCTTTTGTTGACATATGGACTTTACATTTACTGAAGCCAATAGCCCCAGTCTCTTTTTCTAGTCTTTTTTTTTTAAGTTTATATTTCAGTTTTATTCAATTTCTACATTTTCCATTACATTTTAATGGACAGCTGTATTTTATTGTATTTTTAATTACTGAGGTTAACAAATTCCACTATGCAAAAAAAGGCAGAAATAAGGCATTCTGTGCATATCGTAATTCTCACAGATGTAACTTATGAACCAAACTTCTCAACTCTCAGCAGCATATTTATGAGTTATTGACCATCCAAATTCCACACCTACATTCAGCTGTGACTAACAGGCTTATGTGGAATCATCACCTTCTGTTGCTTTAGAGATCAAAAAGACTGTGGAAAAGGCCATGTTTTCTCAGAGTTTGATCTACATAAAACCCTCATTATTGTCCAAGAGATACACAACAATCAGTTCGCATACCAGTGCATGCACATTGGTATCACACACTCCCACACACATAAAGAGGCACACACAAACACCTTTTTCTCTCTAAGACACAGCTTCTTCCATTCCCATGCCCAAAAAAAAAAAAACCCTCCATCGCACCACCACTATGGCATGAGAGAAAGCCACATTGTAGATTCTCAGCCACCATGGCCAAGTGACCAAAACAAAGTACAAGGAGGCCTCTAAAACATCAACAGTGATGTATGTCACAAAGTCAGAGCAGATGTAACCCTTCTTGAATCCAATCTTTCATGGTTACTTTTTCTCTCAGCCTAAAACACAAATCTACAATGACCATTTCATTGCACTGTGATGATAACCAGCAGTGTCTTTACTCACAGAGGATGTTGCTTGTCTTACTCCACCATGTTTATAGTACATCTTTGGCATTGTTGCATTTTTTTGGCTATGCTAATTTCCCTGCATTTATGCTCATATTCATTTAGCTAACTGTAGTGGTATCAGTAAAAATGCTGCAATGAATACTGCAGATGATAGAAGTCTGTTTCACTGTCAAACAGTTTCTCTGTCACACCTGTCCTCTCAATCTGCTATAAATGCACTGAGCATAGAATGCAAATTTTGACTGAGGCTGTATCTGTTGCATCACCTAAAGACTATCTTTGCCTTATTATTGCTGTAAATCAATAGATTTTGTAGAAAATTTGTGCATCATAGCAATTTGTTGTCAAAGTAAGGTAATAAAAGAAACATGCGCACACAAACACACACTCTTTGTTTCTTACCATTGTGGGAGAGCCTTATCCTTGGGTACATGCTGTGGGCTATGTGTGCCATGCCCAGCAGAACAAGAGGCATAAGCATCTGTGTCAGATACACAGTCCTTATACAATCTACCATCCTCATTGAAATATACACTCTGCGTTTGTCTACACAGAAAACATGCTAGTCCGCTCAGCATGAGCAGCAAAGTCTATGAAAAGAGGAAAAAGTCCACTGGTTTTTGCTCTTTTAGTTCCTGCAAACAATGTCTAATAAGAGACAGTTGCAGGTAAAACAATCCAGCAAGAGTCCACTTGGAGGTAATGGTCCATTTTCTGATAATCACCACAATGTGGATCACCTAGATGTATCTCTGCAGCTTCTACACCGTCTCTGCTTTCCCCTATAGCAGCCTGCTCAAAGCTGCATCCACCCACTACCTCTATGGACAGGATAGTGCTCTGGCTATTATCCTAGTTTGGTCTTAGTAACCAGGGAAAAAAGAAGTCCAGTTGCTACATTCACACTGCAGTGCCCACTGCTCTCTGCCCATATGTCAGTCCGTCTGTCTGTATGCCCAAGCACTAATCCAATCTTTATGATGTGATGAAAGAAAAAATAAATAAATAAATAATCATCCAAGTCCATAAATCCCACAGAGGTACTAGTGAGCTGCTGGTTTGAAGAAAAAAAAAAAAACTCAATGTGCAGAGGTCTGTCCTAGGAGGCAGTTTTGGAGCTACTACGCTGTATCTTCAGGCTGCGTTCCTCCCTGCTGAGTCCACTGGAGCAGGTCACTCTCTGGACAGGAGCCCAGGGAAAGGCAGAGTGGAAGAGGGGAGGAGTGGAGAGTCTCGTGCCTGGCGTGCAGCCTCTCCGCACTGGGAAAGAAAGTGAAGCTCTACTTACTAACTCTGCTCCCACCAGAATAATCAGGGTGGATCCAAACCTCACCTCAAACCTCAGCCAGCCAATTTCTGCCACAGCAACTGATCTGGGCAGAGGCCACCTGCCCTTGTGTGGTGTGTGTGACGAAAGCCGTTGTGTGGGAGAGTGCTTGAAGGGCTGAAAATTACTAATGCTCCTTCCGTTAGACTCTCTTGAGATCTCTCTCTCCCTCACAGGCAGCTGGATTAAGTGTGCTGTGTCCCCACACGAGCTCTGTGAGGCTCTGCCTGGCTCTCTTCTAAGAAATAACACCTCTCATGTCACTCTACAGACCACCCCTCGCTTCTCTTCTCCTCTTGCCCTCCTCCTTCACCACCTTTTTTTTCCCTCCTATCTCCGTTGCATTAACCTGAACCTCAGCCAAGGTTTTCAGCCTCATAACTTTAGCACTTCTTTCATTTTCAGTCACTGCCCTCTTTGTGTTTGTGAATAGTCATTATTACTGTTACTATGGACTTTCATGTACAAGGTTTCTTTTATGGTGATTTACTTCTCTGAGCCCTTTTTTTTCCCTTTTCTTATCTGTCTACCCATCTTTCACATTCCTCAGTATAATTCCTGTAAAACCTGGTTATTTCTATGTTCTTATATTCAGGACTTTTTCCCTTGATGTCTCATACCATTCTAGGCTTATTCTCTTTTTGTTTTGTTTTTTCTCTTTTCTGCCAGTTAGTATCAGAGTTTTTGTATGTATACTTGTGCACACGTACATTTTTTAAGTATTTCTAGTGTTGTGTAAAATATTCATGATGAACTCAGTGGCATGCATTCTTGTGCTGTGTCTTTGCAGTCTTTTGTTTTGTCTCAAGGTCTACAGATTTCTGAATGTGATTAGCCAACATAAACACATAGTCAAGAAAAGAAAATGTCAAAAATGTGACAAAATTCATTATAGAATTTGCACATATCCCACAGAAAGGTCCCACAGGCATCCAGTTACTGGACCAAAGTGTCCTTTGTCTCCAGCAAAGCTTTCTGAAATGCATCTGTCTCTCTCTGTCTGTGGTTGTGTGGTAACACTAACATTAAGCCATGCTATTCCCCAACTTAGGAACATTCAACAGTCTCCAAAGAATGAAAAAGTTTCCTGTTTGTGTCTAAATTGTGATGGAATTTGCACAAAAGAGCTTTAATGAGAATATTTTCCAGTGGTAATCTTCATTCATAATTGAGATCAACAAACCAAAAACTGCACCAACAACACCAAATCTTACACAGACAAAGCAAACAAACACAGCTTAATAAATAGGGTGAATATGTAAAAAGAGAGACAGAAAAAATAAGAGAGAGATATGCACAGTGTGAATGAGAGTGGGAATGTATACAAATGGTCAGCCTCTAAATTAACACATACAGTAACATGGAATTCAAAATGAATGCATTAGGCTATAGCAGCTGCACCCCCGCCCCCCGCACCACCCTGGGAACTGATGAATCTAACTCCCACATTGCACCTGTTCCCTGACAGAACATAGGGACTTTGTGTGTGCGGAGGTCTTGTAATATACATTATCACTGTTATTCAATTGCCTGGTGCAATTTATAGACTCATCTGTTGTTGAGGGTGAGACAACTGTTCAATGTCAGCTTCCCTGGAGCTGACACTATCTGACTGACTGTGACACAGTTTCATCAGCTTGAACCTAAGCATTAATGTAAGAACATATTTTAGCTTCACATCCTGATAAAAAAAGGCTCCTGTGGAATATTTTTATTTTTAACCTTTTAAGATGCTACCTCAGATTGCCACTTAGGGAATCTAATGCACATACAGTGGGCACAGCATCCACATACTAACATCGCCCCCTCTGTGACCAAATGGGTCTGTACTTCCTTCAACCCAGCCTAATAGCAGTAATCAGTCAGAAATCTGCCTCATACGAGAAACAGCAACAACAACAGCTCAATCTTTCACTTCTTCAATCTTTTTTACCACCCTTTCCTCACACTGTCCTTGCTTCCTTCCTTTTTTCTTGATTTCAGCTCTTGATGCTTTCATTAGTATGATTCCAGTGGTGCATGTACCAAGGACTCTCCCATGCATTAGGAGTAACAGCAGCCATACAGCCACTCTTACCTACCTCTATTTAAGCTGAAATTCAACAAATTGTTCACTGCGGAGATTTTGGCTCTGCAGTATCTGACTGTGTCAAATTTAAAAGCTGGTAACATTCCCTGGGCACAAACCTTGACACACAGCCTGTCACATATCACTAAATGCCTACTTCCTTTCTAGCTACTCTTTTAGGAAACCTGGATGTGTTAAAAGACTGTTTGATTGAGTGCTTATGTCTAGCGTTTGTTTGAATAGGCCATGTTCAGACGTCTTGCAGCGTTCCTTTCATGGTCTCTGAACACAAAATATTTTCATTCATGTTAATGCTGTGTCAATATCCATCCTGTCCAACAGAAGCCTCTCTGACCTCTTGTTTGACCCGCAGAGACAGACATGCACACTGTTTATGTCCATGCAGTTTGCTGTGTGTATTCAACTGCAATGTGTTGCAATGTAAGAGAACAAGAGAGAAAAGGAAATAAGGAGATTAAACACAGGATAGACTTAACTGGAAGAGTATGTGTACATGAATTTATGCATGAATCTGTGTGCGTGTTAGTGCATGTCTATCGCTGACCAACTGCAGTGCCTCCCTTTGCTAAAGAAAAGCCAGGCCTCTGGTGTCTTGCGTAAAGCAGTATTCTGTGGATCCAGTGTTTCAGAGCCACAAGACACCCCAGCTGTTTACACAGGTGGCTATCATATGACCAGTGAAGATTGTCCCCATGGCACATACACTACAGAGACATCAGTCAGAATTTGAAGGCAGGGAGCAATATGTCTTTTCTTGCTTTACATCAGTTAGTGGCTTAGAAAGCAGCCCTCACCAAGAGACACAAATGTTTCTGGAGATTGCAGATTTAGCCAAACAGCTTGTATTGTATAGTATGTGATACCAATCGGGGAATCACTGCTAGTCACAAACAGTCAAACAGGGAGAGAGGTTAGCATCAGAGGAGATGTAAGGCTGTCTGCTCAGTGCTAACATTATAATATGGAACCTGCTGTACACTCCTTTATGCATATGACTAGTTCACTATAAGATATGTCTGTTACACTCCATTACTTCCTTAGATCTCTCCTACTGAGTGCTGCTAACCTCAGGTGAGGCTCTAAGCAGGTGGATATCTCCCATGAGAGTCCATGGCACCACAGCATAGTAAATGCATGTTCTCTTTGCCAAATACAATTCCAGAAACCACAATGTGTGATCCAAACTCAGCTGGTTAGAGAAATGCTATTCCAGAAGCTTTGTGGCCACCCTTTTGGCTTTCTTTACTTCCTGAGATTCATCTCCTTGGACATATTTCTTTGTTGTAGGGTTAGTAATGGGAAACCCAGCCCAGGCCAGCGCTCTGCAGTCACAGATGGTGAAGAGGAGGATTGGGTTATGCCTCTGGCGTGATATGTGGAAGTGACCATCTGGCCTCATGTGTATACTCATCCATCATCATGGTAACCACCACATAATCCACAGGTGTTTGGGTGTGAGTGTACCCACATGAATAGATGCATATTGTGTGTCTGTGTTTATTTGTTTATAGGTGAATTTTGACAAGTGTTTGCGCAGGGGCAGAAGACGAAAAAGCACACAAACATGTGGAACTGCCCACTTATCCTCCTGTGCATTGTCATCCATCATGCTTGTACAGTGACACGACTGTGTTTATATACAAAATTTTAAGAATGAAAAAATCAGGCAAAAATACTGTTTCATCTCAACCATTTATCTTAAACACGTTTAGCTATGATCACTGCTAGAAAACCGAATAGAGATAGATATATTAATAATGGTGACAAGTAGACTAAACATCTGCCATCAACATATACTTATGGCTAATTTTTTTTCTACCTCACTGATCTGTGATTTATACCCACACAAAAAGGTCAGACACATTTCATTGAACCAAAACTAAAACACAAGGGTGGATATGTGGAAAAGCAATCACTGTGGGATGAATGCAGAGTTTAAGGTTGAATCAATTCAGACAACAGTCAACATTTTAGGTTTTGCTCAGGAAAAAACTTCACATAAAATGAACCATACTGGGAAGACATGTATCCAGTGCCCCTTGGTGTGTGTGTGTGTGTGTGTATGTGTGTGTGAGTACATATATACACTCATACAGTAAGCTTACACATGCATATGTTTACACCCATGCCTCTGGGTTCATGAAATATAAACAGGGTCATGTAAATTGAATCACCACACACTGCTGTAACACTTTTTATCTGCCTACATTTTGAGACATTTTACTTTGAAGTGGTTGATTGCTGTAAGAGTTCCTCATAATCCTATAGAGACAGATTGCCTGTGACCAATAAAGCCAGCTCTTGTGTTTAAAACCTGACATTAATTACTCAACCAGCCAGACAAATAAACATCCAACCATAAGAAACCATGTTTAATGTAAAATGACATAAAGACAAAATAAACCTAACTTAGACCAAATACTTGAAGTGTAGCATAAATCCACATCTGTGAATTAAGAGTATGAGTCATACTGTGGGTGTAGCTATGAGCTTATGTGTCTCTCTTAGTAAATTATGAGTTTGTGTGTCTTGTTTCCTAGATTTTTGCCTCTTACAAATGCTAGACACTTTTCATGCATTTATTATTTTATGTGTCTTTTATTAAGACTGACCTGGCCAAGAGGGCAGCAAAGGCATTCTTACAATAGTAGACACAAACAATATTCAATCCACTGTTAAACATGAGCAAAAATGTGAGGGGGGTAGGTGAAATGGGCAGAAAGTATAAAGGCTAATACTCTTTCCAGGTGTGTTCCCCATGGCAGACATATGCTTTAACTTGTTAACCTACACTATATCACACAGACTGCTGTAAATAGTTTTATCGGTGACCCAAGTTTAACTAAACTCCTAATAATCCATCTACAGATGTCATTAAGTTTACATTTCTTGCTAACTCTGATTAATAGCCTCTGGTAGTGTTTGATCAAAGACATTTTCTGGAGATTTCTAAACACAAGCACATACATACTGTATAAACAAGAAAATGATAGGCAGTATCATATCCTTGGAATGACAAAGGTTTTGCATTTTCTCCCTGTTGGGCCACATGTATTATAATAATGATGTTTTTGGCAATAATTTGACAT